GGGATGGAAACCTTCTCTGTCTTGACCTTTCCGATGTCAATATTCCGGCTGCGGTATCGCGCCACGGTCACCACGGTCACCATGGCGGGAAACGGGGCACAGGGAACCTGGGAGCTCTGTATCACTTCTTACAGTTACGTCTGAATCTACAATTAATCTCAATAAAAAGTTTAATTTAAAAAAATAAAACAAGGAAACGAGTCTATGAAAGTCAGGACATGGGTTACTTTCAGAGGGAAGTCCCAGCAGGCCTGAGGACGGGGTGACCTGCAAGATTCCATTCCCGCCCCCGGTGGCCGTGAGGGGGGAGTTCACTTTATATAACGCACCGAGCTGAACACTTGCTTTGTGTGAATGTTTTGTACCTGTGTTTCGTTTTGTAATAAGTTAAAGAAAAAAAAGATGGCAGCTGTTCTGTCTTGAGCCAGGAGTCAGCGACCACGAGAAAAGTGATCATCTACAATCATATGTTGTATGAACAAGAAACAAGCATCTGTCATCAGCAGCTAAGATTTTGCTGGTCACTCCTGCAAACACAGCCCATCCTGACCAACACCTGCACAGTGGGGGGGGGGACCAAAAAGATAACAGCTACCCAAGTTCCTACTTAGGGGGACGCCACCAATTATGAGCCCAGCAAGGGACAGTAACGTGCCCCCGGGGAGGGTGGGCAGGGCCTTTGGGGTGAGGTTAATAAAGCGAAGACCCGGACCGGTGTCCGGCATCTGCCCAAGACCCACACCTACTACATGCTCAGCTCTCCCCTCCGCAGACCCCCCTGTGATGTCAGCTGGACAGAAAATACCAGGATATTCGTGTTCTAGACCGATTGTGCCCCCTCTGCCCCGGTTCCTATGTCACAATCCTAACTCCCAGGACACTTAGAATGTGTGTTTAGAGACAAAGAGGTAATTAAGGCTCCACGAGGCTGTAAAGATGAGCCCAAGCCCACGGGACCGCTGTCGTTACAAGAGGAGAGGCACCAGGGGTGCAGGTGCACAGAGGAAAGGCCACGTGAGGGAGGAGACTGAGAGGCGGCGGCCACCTGCGAGCCAAGGACAGAGGCCTCAGGGGACAGCAACCCTGCCAGCACCTTGACCTTGGATCTCCAGCCTCCAGAACTGAGAAAATAAATGAGCTGTTAAAGTCCCCCCCCCCCCCCGTGGTGTTGCATTATGGCAGCCCCAGCAGACTGATACCACCCAGAGCAGACGTGGCCACAGAAACACAGAGGGTGACCACATGCGGATCATCACAGACTGCAAGGTCCCAGCAGGGTCATCCCTCCTCCACTGAAGTCTCTCCACGTGACAGACGCCAACTGCATCCTCCAGTGCCTTCCCTTCCTCCTCAGAACACCCCACACCGGACACGAGGACTCACCCCCACAGGGGTTCCGTGCCCGGCCAGGCACGGGGGCAGGGCCAGGGTTAGACCCCAGACGGCCTGTAGCCCAGGCCCCCACCCATCTGTGGCTGCCAGTGCTGAGCCTCCCTCAGCAAGGAAGGGGACAGTGGCACAGGGGCAGGTGGGGGACAAGGGGCGCCAGTGCACTGGGGATTTCTTTGGATTTTTTGTTTTTTCTCACATTGCTGTAACTTACATTTTCTAGTTTAAAAATTTAAAATTTGCTGGCTGGCATAGCTCAGTGGATTGAGCGCAGGCTGCGAACCAAAGTGTCGCAGGTTCGATTCCCAGTCAGGGCACATGCCTGGGTTGCAGGCCATGGCCCCCAGCAACTGCACATTGATGTTTCTCTCTATCTCCCTCCCTTCCCTTTCTAAAAATAAATAAATAAAATCTTTTTTAAAAAATTTAAAATTTGGTATGTAAGGATTCGTGAGGACTGGCCCTGAGGCCACAATGAGTGCTGAGGCAGCCCACGCAGGGGCCCCCCCACCACCACCACCACATGGTCCCAGGAAGGACAGCGCCCCCCAGCCGCCATTCCCCAGGGCTCTGCAGTGAGTGTCGTGCGCTCCCAGCCCTCCGCACGGGCCGTAGCCCTGCCAGCAACGTCGAATGGCGCTTGGGTAACGCGGAGCAGAAGTAGACCACGTGACAGCTGGTTTGCAAGGGCTCGCCCAGCACGGCCTCCGGGGAAGGGGCCCAGAGTCCCTCAGCTCCGGGAGCCCTTCCTTGCCCAAGAGAGATGGCATTTGGCAACATCCTCCCAGCCAGGGCCCAAACCGCTCCGCTGTCGGCCCTTGCGCCCAGGAATCCCACATCAGATGGAAAGAAAGGCAAGGTGGTTTATTTTTTTGTTTCTGGTTTTTGGTGTTTTGTTTTTTTTTTAAATCATAGGCATCAAGCAAAAGTCAGAGCCACAACCCCAAGCTGTAGGCAGGTGTCAAGAGCCACTTGAACATTCTAGAAGGTCCTCAGGGCCCCACTTGACACTTGGTGACCTTCCCGTCCGAAGCATGAGCTGTAATTAACAGCAGGGGACCCGCTGACTCGGCTGCTGGGCTGAGGGCCAGCGCTGACTGACAAGCAATCACAGTGACCAGCTGGGACCAGCAAGACGTCCCCGAAGAGAAGGACATTCCCAGGGGCTTGGCCCTCTGAGTAGGGTTGCCGGATTCAGCAAATAAAAATAAAGGACACTCGGTTACATTTTTATTTTAGCTCAACACCATTTTTTTTTCCAAGTATAAGTACGCACCATGCAGTATTTGGGACATACTCATGCTTTAAAACATCATTGGTTTATCTGAAATTCAAATGTAACCGGGCGTGCTGGGTCTTATCCGGAAACCCTCCCTCTGAAACAGTGGCATTTACAACAAAACCCCCCTCACCCCCCTCTGGCCGCTGAGACGGCACGGGAGTAAACAAGCACCAGCCCTCGGTTCCCAGGGGGCTGACGTTCTAGAGAAGTCGAGAGACTAGACAATCTCAGGCGGGCCCTGGCTGGCATAGCTCAGTGGATTGAGCGCGGGCTGTGAACCAAAGTATCCCAGGTTCGATTCCCAGTCAGGGTACATTCCTGAGTTGCAGGCCATGACCCCCAGCAGCCGCACATTGATGTTTCTCTCTCTTTCTCCCTCCCTCCCCTCTCTAAAAATAAATAAAATCTTAAAAAAAAAATCTCAGGCGCCCAGGAGGCCACTTTAGACTGAGCGGCCAGGGAAGGGAACTGAGGAGACAGGCTGAGGGCCATGTGGTATTGGGGGGCAGGCGGGTGTTCATTGCAGGCGGTGATTAGCCGATGCCAAGGACCCGTGGCAGAGAGGACTGACTTACTTCACCCAGATGCTGAGAGCCAGTTGCTACGGCCGGAACGGAGAGGGTGGGGAAGTGGTGTGCACAGTGCGGCTGGGGCCCCAGGGCCTTCCCAACCAGGAAAGAGAGTTGGATCTTATTCTAAGTGCATGGGATGCTGTTGGAGGGTTCTTAAAGTGACATGATGCAATTCGGAGATGTTTACACAGCCCAGAGAGACACACACGCAGCCTCACAGGTTGCCAGGACCAGAGTGAGGAGAAAATATGGAAGGCATTAGGGTGCAACATTTAAGGAGACCCTCATTCTTATGTCTATGCAAGTGCTGACACTCAGCGGCCCCCAGCCTCCGTTCCCAGGCCCGGCTGCTGGAGTAGGAGGGCAGGTCAGGAGGGGAAGGGGGAAACTTACTTTGTGCCCCATCCATCGGGGACAGGCTGCAGCTTCTGGCTCCCACCGGGCTGGGCGAGGCACGCCTGTTGTAAAGGGCGGGGGGGCCCCGGGGCCAGGTGCCCCCCTTGAAGCACAGGTTCCCTCCAGCCAGGGGTCCGCCATGTGTCTTCTCGGCTGAGCCGTGCGTGGCAAGGCTGCTGGGGCATTCTGACACTCCTGGTCCCCTAGCCTAGTGGACACGCCCTCCGGACCCAGCGGGTCAGAGGGAGCTGGACACCCTACCACCGCACCTCAGACCACTGCTTCTCTGCCTCCGCCTCCTCCGCACACCTCAGGCCGCCCTCGTTGGGGCAGCGAACTCAGAGAAACACCTCCCTCTCCCTTGGCCAAGCAGCAAGCTCTGCAGCCTCAAGCCCCCTTTTGTCCTTGAGCAGCGTTAACAAGGAGCACCTGGCTCACCCGCGGGCCCCGAGACCACGGTGGTCTGGCTCGGGCCAGGAATGTTTCTTCCCCATCGTTGCCATGGCTGCAGTCTGCGACCTTAGCAGGCATTAAACGTGCCGGGATGAGTGGGACGAGCTGACAAAATCGTAGAGCCTAGACTACCCCAGGGGCTCTGATTCAGTGCGGGCGGCGGGTGGAGGCCAGGAATCTCCCATTCGACAGTCAGCCGGGTGATGTGGGAAACAGGTAAGTTCACTTACCTTAAGGAGACTCCGTGGTAGCTAATTTATCTCCTCACTAGAACACAGGACGGTGGGTGCAGCGATCGATCCCTTGTAAAAGTAAGGAACCACGCTGAGGTCGGTGACCAGCCCCAGGTCACGCGGCCAGTAAGCAGCGGAGCTGGCAATGAACCCTGGCTGGGGACCCCTGAGCCCGTACTTTTAAGTCTGTGCCTCTGATATGGCCATGCACCTGGGGCGGAGCAAGAGCCCGGGGCTCGGGGAGGCGTGGGGGCTGAAAATGCTCTAAGACGGACAGCGGTGATGGTCGCACAACTCTGTGAACTGAGACCACGGATCTGCACACTCACGTGGGTAAACGACGTGGTGTACGAATTAGAGCTCAGTAAAGCCGTTTAAAGAAAGTAGTACATGGGCAGTCCCCGGCGGCCTTTGTAGTCTTCGTGTGATGGCTCCACTCACCGCGGGCAGGGGGGAGGGGGCGTGAAGGCAGCGTAACTTTGCTCACCTGGTGAGCCATGTGCACCGTGAGCTCCTTGACACCTGAGCTCTCTCTCCTTGCAGGAACGGCGTCCTCCAGGACGGCCCCGCCACCCCCAGCCCACTCCCACGCCGGCCACACGGTCACCACCAAAGCGGGAGGCCCGAAACCCGGAAACCCCAAGGACCACTCGCACGCTCCTTCCTGACAATCGCACTTCACGCTTTTATTGTTAGTTTTCTTCACAGGGCAGATACAGAGCGGAGGCCCAAACCCACGCTCCGAAGCCACCACGGGCCAGGAGACGCCGCTCCTCGTCAAACCGCTCCCCCTTTTCTCGACTAGACGGCTTGTAGCAGTTTTCCCGACAGTCCCCGAGTGTTGAGAGCTGGCCGGCGCCTTTGCACACGCAAAGAATGAGCGGCTCCCCATCCCCCCCACACGCAACATTTCCAGAGCTTGCCATTGGCTGAAGGTGACTTTTCAAGTTTTGGGTTCGTAAGCCTTCCTCGCTGCTCCACGGGGAAAACCCTCGAGAACTGGGAGGCTGGGTACGGTTGGTAAGTGCTGGCGTGTATGGGACAAAACCGTTAGGACGAGGAACAGCCCCAGATGTTCACGCTTGTGAGGGTCCCTTTTGGGAGCAGGCAAAAGGCTGCCTTCTGGTTTATGACCATCGACAACAAGCCACGGTTGTCAGCGGGTCGGAAACGGGAAAACTGCGGCGGAGGACAACCATCAGCATTTGTTCTGCCCGTGTGAGGATCTCACGAGAACTTTCTCCTGGACCGTCCTCAGAGCCCGCACTGCAGCCGGTCGACTGATTCATTAAATAACACAAGTTATAAAACTTTAAAAACGGGTCATTTACAGTCAGGGACATAAATACGTGCTTTGAAAACTGTCTACATACATATTTACAGAGTTGCAAGATCAACCATAGTAGCCCTGAAAAAAAAAGTCCCTTTTTTGCACGTGCCCACTCGGCTGGCTTCCAAAGCCCCTCCTTCCACGTTGGGGGCGGATACGTTACTGTCGGACGTGGGGACGAGGAAGCAGCGCGAGTGGTCTCAGACATCCTCGTCCGGGGTCTGCCCCAAAGGCACAAAACCCAAGACCCTCACTGGGTCCCAACTCCTAGCCCAGCGCACCCGTTTCTCCGAGGCATGGACGGTCCCCCCAGCGAGCGGGAGCCACCTCCACCGGTCCCTGGCCGGGGACGGAGCGCTCCCAGGGTCTCTTTTCCTCCCCGCTCCATGCTTTCTAACTTCCCATCTAATGTTCATTTCCCAGCGTCTGTTTGTCCGTTTCCCTTTGCGGCTACTCTGAGAAGCTCAGACACTGGAAGCGTTGATGGTCCCACCCGGGGAGGCAAAGGAGCCCACGGGACATCCCCTCCCCCCACGCGCCCGTCCCACGCGAGAAACCCGCCCCATAAATGAGGACAAGGGCTTTCTCCCGATGCACGTGGACTAAGCACAATTTCAAATCTGGAAATGACTCAAGTGCCGGCAGCCCAGAAGACTCGGGCCAGGAAGGGGGTTTTCCAAGCGCACAGGCCAAGGGGGAGGGGCAGCGAGGCTCCCGCGAGTCTACGCGCCATTGATTCCCAGAGATGGTGGGGGATTCGGGAGGGGGGGCGGGGCGGTCGGAAGGGGAGCCTGGCGTCCTCCCGAAGGCCTTCCTTGGACAGGACTGGAGTTCACCCCCTGGGCCAGACCAAGGTCCCCGCCCCAGCAGAGAACAACTTGAGAAGCAAAAAGCAGGATCAAGGAGCTCTTGAAAAATTGCATAGTAGGAGAGGCCCCGCCCCCTGCAGGGAGGCTGGGCTGCAGAGCACAGTCCGGGCGGGGGCACCGGAGGGTCCTCCTCCGCGGTGTGAAGTCTGCTGCCGCCCCGCCTCCGTGAGGCTCGGGACGCTCGGCTGACGACGGCGCGGACGCACGCGCACACATGCACACGCACTCCCACGCGCGCACTCACTCACGCACTCCCGCTCTCGCACAGGCTCGTGGAACTGGGGTAGGTCGGTGCTGCCTGCAGGGCAGGAGGCCAGTCCCTTTGGCTTCTCTGGTTCCAGGTCACTTCAGGTGCTGAGGAGACAAAGAACAGAACAAGACTAATGGCCACCGCACGTTCAGTGGGCTGCTCAAGCATCACCCCACCTCATTTTTCCAGCTGAGCTACTTATTCAAGTCCAGCAAACACGCAGAGAAAAGCAAAGCCTGGAGAATTTTCGGTGAACGCACGTGCGCAAGCAGCACCCAGATCAGGAGATAGAACGGGGCCAAGCTCCCCTCAGCCCCGCGCGCAGCCCTCTTTTCGGGGGCTGACCACGGACACTCTCACCCCGGAACAGCCGCCATCCTGACCTCTACCAGCACGGCCAGATGCCCCGTGTTTTCATGTGGATAAATGAGGCTCATCGGCACCCGTCCTCTGTGCCTGACTTCCTCCGCGGAACGCGCCTGCGCCTGAGCGTCATCTGCTCCGAGCGCATGGCACGGTGCGTCTTTCTCAGCCTCCTCTCCCCCCGCGGAGGAGTTCAGTGGTGGGATCACCGCGTCACCTGACCGGCCTACTGCCCATGCCCGGCCGGGCGGTGCGCAGTCTGGGGCCGCCCTGGGTGGCGCTGCTGGGACGCTCCTGTGCACGAGGACGTCTCAAAGACGTGCGTGCACCGGTGAACCTACTGACGGACGGTGGAGGTGCCAAGGGGTGGGCGTACCTAGGCAGTGTGATACTCCTGTACCCGCTTTCTGGTGCACACACGCGCACACGCCGGCTGCGTGCAGCCCTGGCAGTGGCAGGGCTGGGACCTGGGGTATGTATGCATCTGTCCGGCTTCAGTGGGTACGGCCAAGAAGTTTTCCAAAGCAGTTCCAACGTCACTGAATTCCATTCCAGTGCTCACAACCACCCTCCTGGCAGGCGACAGGGACCCTCATTTTGCACAGAAGGAACAGAGGCTCAGGGAGGAGCAGTAACTTTTACAAGGGCAGGCTGGTGAGAAGTGGCAGAGGTGGGACTCGAACCCAGGTCAAGCACACTCCGGAGCCTGCAGCACGTGCTTTCTGTTTCAAGGGAATGGCCGAGCCGTGCTTCCACAATGGAAACCCCATGTATGGAACTTGGCGCAGAGCCAGGCACGCGTGAGCGCCTGAGCGCGTCTGCCGCCTGGGGTTGAACGCGAGGCTGGAACTGGGCTGAGGCAGGTGCAGGGGTTCAGCCCTCTCACCCAGTGAGCCTGGTTAGCATCACCATGACTGGCAGTCTGGCGATAACCTCTACCATTACTACTGTTCCTCCTACCAACAACGTAACGATTCCGTGAGAACAGCAGTGCCGGGCTACGGATGGCTTACTCCACACCAGGCACTTTCCTGAATACTTTTCACGCACTAACCGGCCTATGAAATCCTTACAGCATGCCCGCTTTACAGATGCACGAACCGAAACGCGGAGAAGTGAACCAGCTGCCAGGATTACTGCAGCTGGGATTCAACTCCACTCCAGACGTGCGCACTCAAGTCACCATACGGTCAGTTCTGACCTCCCCCAAACCTGGGGGAGGAGCCCCAAACCCGCTGGGGCTGGAGAGACAGCTGCTTGCAGAGGAGCATGAACCTTGGACAGAGGCAGCCCCCTGCCCCGTGCAGGCCTGCGTGTGCCCACGCCCATCCGAGCACGAGTGGGGGAGAGTGTGGTCAGCGCGCGAGACTTTCCTGTGGGTTGTTGAGTGGGATCCAAACAGAAGTCACCTTGCTGGTCTCCTACCCAAGAGGCAGCCCTCTGGGGAGGTGGCCCCAGCAGCAGAGACTGTGGGCTGGACCCCTGGGCGAGAGGTTGGCAGAGGCTGCCCCCAGGGGGTTTCTGCCAGCAGAGAGCCAGGCAAGGTAGACCCTCCACCCACCCACCCGTGGGAGCCAAGGTCAGAGGACCACTGTGGAGTCCAGACAAAGGAGAGGTGCCAGCCCCTCCCCGGGACCTCCCTTCCCAGACCCTCGGGCACGAGGCCTGCTGGCCCCGTGGACCGGAAAGAGACAGAGGCAAGATCGGATGCGCCACGCAAGGCTCGGCCTGGACTAGGCGGTGCGGCGCCTTCTCAGACGTGAAAGCCGAGAGCATGCTCTGGGCTTTGCGGGAAGTGTCGTTAGAGCAGAGCAGAGGGGGCACAGCTGAGACGGTGGGCGGCAGAGCTGGACAGAACCCCGCTCGGGCCACGCTGCCCAGGAGCCTGCAGCCCGCCACGGGCGACAGCATGAACCCGGGTCCGGGGTGCTTGGAGGACATCATCCTCTTCGCAGGGCAGAGCCCACACGCAGGTACGGTCCGTCTGTGATTTCGGGGAGGGGGGCACAGCCCACAGAAAGTCCGCCGTCCTTCCTGGCAGTGAGGAGGGAGCCTGGACTTCCGCTCCCAGGCCGGCCACGGGCCCCCCTCTGCCGGTCTCCCCCTCTGTAAAAGCAGGGTGTTGACCTACGCATCCCTTCGTGGCCTTTTAACAATCGTTCTGGAACTGGGACGGACTGCACTGTCTGTCCCCCGAAGACTGGGCCCTAACCTCCAGTGTAACGGTGGCACGAGCAGGTGGGGGCTCTGGGAGGCGACTGGGTTTCAGTGAGGTCATGGGGCGGGGGGACTCGTGCTCTCGTAAGAAGGGACACCGGCACTTGCTCTCTCTCCACGAGAGGACGCGGCCAGAAGGCAGCATCTGCAAGATAGCGGGAGAGCCACCACCCTGGCCTCGGACCTCCTGGGGAAGCTGCGTGTGTTAGGAAATGAGGCAGAAGAAGGCGCCCATGCGGGGCCGCGCCCTGACCCCGGGGGAGAGGCTGAGACTGCAGGGGTCCACAGAAGCCCTCGGCCTGTGCGGGAAACCAGTCCCGCTGCACCCGGCTCTCCCTCGGGCTGCAGAGAACACCCTCTCTGGGCTGGGAGGCATGCCCTGTGAGCCCATCCACACGGAGGGCCACAGGGAGGACCCCAAAACACACAGGGGACCCCGAGTCGGGACCCGCTCACCCTGGCACTGCCTCCCATTCTCCAGAAGGCTCTGGCCACGCCTCCCCGGCCCAAACCCCAGCCTCCTCTCTGTGCGAGGGGAGGGGCAGAGAGCGGGTCTGGGCTTTCCTGTTCTGTGCAGTCTCAGTGTCCGTTTCCATGCTCAACCTGGCTCCTGAGAGGCGGGCCCGGCTCTGGCTGCAGACAACAGCCCCCCTGGGAGGATGGATTTGATTTCTGTTCCCCTCCTGGACCTCCCCCCACCCCGAGAAATAAGACCGAGCTCAGAATCCCCAACTGCTGAGCGAGAGGTGAGCGAGCTACCTGGTTGGGAGGGTAGGTGGAAGAGAGAACAGCACAACCCAGAGACCCTAGACTGAGACCCCGGCCCATCCTCGCCTGGAACCACCGTGAGCTCGTCCCCAACGACCCCCGACCTGAGCGCGCCCCAGAGCTGCCCAGCCGCCTGCTAACGCCAGCCCCCGCCTGTGCTGGCTCCCTGGACTGCAGTGGGGGCCCTGAGGTCTGTATTTTTAATTGGCGCCCCACTGTCTCGGTGCACGAGGCCCTCCGGTTGTGCTGGAGAGGCTGGTCTCGGGGATACGATGGCAGAGGGCAGGCTGTGTCACCAACAGGGACGCCCCGGCCTGCTCCGACCCCCGACACCACCCAGGCCCCTGGTGTGGGTTTGGTTCCTACGGACGAACTCGGGTTTTACCATCAGGAAATCTAGAAAGAGACTTAATGCTGGTTCGACGTATATCTGCCATTTAGTATGTTACAGGTTAGTGTTCCTTTCGAACGCGCTGTGGGAATGGGGACTTCACGAACTCCTCCGGGCTTGAAGCCTCTGTGGGTCTCGGTTAATAAAGGCCGAGCATTGTCACCACCGCGATCGTCACTCTCACTGTCCAAACGACAGCTGCTAACACTTACCTTGTGCTGCGGTAAGCGTGCCACGCACTGTTCTAGGTGCGCGGCGTATATTTGACGCTTGGAAGTCTCGTAATCCTGCGAAGTAGGTACTGCTGTCCAGTTTTATAGATGTGGAAATGGGGGTTTGGAGAGACTGGCTCCCTAAGTGGCAGAGCTGGGGTCTGAATCCAGGGTGTCCAGGGTCCCCCCCACATGCCCTACCTGGCCCACAGAGGGTACTCCACAAGCCACCACGCCCCCCCCTTCTCTGCCCACCCAAGAGCCAGGTGCAGCCTGCTGCCGCCCCCCGAGCCACCCAGAGGGACCCAGAAGCTGCTCCACCCCCCTCCTACCTGTCGGGGAGCAGGTGAAGCCTCTACTCTTTGAGGAGGGGTCCTTGGAGCTGCGCGGCAGCCGTGGCCTTGACGCTCCTACACTGCCGGGTGACGTGCGGGGCGGCCGGCGCCGGGCACCGGCTGGCCAGGCGGAGGCTGTAGCTGTGCGGGGGAGAAACGACACACGCCATCACCAGGGGCCCGGCCCGGGCAGCACCCGGGAAGCCTCTGTGGGCCCCGCTGCTCGGGCCCCGAGAGGCCGATGGGACGTCGGCTCTGATCGCCGTGGGAGCCCCGCCGAGCCCCAGCCACTGCCCTCCCTCCCCCCGCAGACGGGGCCCGCAGCAGCGTCTGCCCGTGGGCTCTGAGACCCCGCATTGCTCGGGGTGACCCAGGGACCCATGGCTTCAGGTACCTGCAGACAACTCGAGTCCAAAAACATGAAATGGAAAATTCCAGAAATAAGCAATTCTTAGGTTTTAAAGGGTTAAATATGAAACGTCTGTTAGACACCCAAGGGCGGTATCGATAAGCGGGTGGCCGAAATGCACCTCCGGTGAGTTTGGGGTTGGTGAGCACCAGGGTGGACCAGGTGGACTGGGGGTGGGGGGCCCCTCCGGGGTGCGGACACGAAGGGGAGGCATCCAGGGACCGAGGAAGGGATCCGGGGCAGCACCGGTGCTGCGGCAAGGCACAGGGAGTGGTCTCAAAGGCGGCGGGCGGTGCAGGGAAGAGGGAGGAGCCACAGCGTCCACAGCTGCCAATGGGCCAGGACAAGACTGAGCACCAGCCGACCATGGCACTCGGCAGCCTCGGGGCTGCTGGTAACCTTGGTCACGGCAGCTTCCACGACCAGGCGCAGACAAACACCTGAAGGAAGTGAGTTCAAGAGAGGAGGGAGCAGAGGAACAGGGGCCAGGGTCAAGGGGATTTTGGTCACGGGGAGCAGAGAGGGGACAGGGTTTGGGTGGAGGAGCTGCCCCTTGGGGACCCGGTCCCCACCAGGCAGACACGACCAGCCTGGGTCCCCACCAGGCTGCCCAGGCCCTGAGCTGAGACGCCCCGCCCGCCACACCTCCTGCCACCCCTTCTCCCTGCCTGCGTCGGGAGGGACCTTCTGGAAGGCAGTCCCCAAGCTGGCCGGGCCACACGGCCGCCCCTGGAGTCTTACACAACTCTCTGTAAGCCCTCAGACAGCAATCCTTTTAAGTCGGCGTCTGATGTTCCGCAGTTTGGCCGGAGGCAAGGGAGAAGCAAGGAGTGTGTGGGAGAAGGCAGGACAACCTGAGATGGTGTTGCAACTCCCCAGGGGCTGGGCGAAGGCCACGGGCAGAAGCCACAGGAATCACTGCCTCCTTCCTGGCACCGGCCACCGAGCACCTTCAGGAAGAGTTGGCTCCAGCTGCCCACGCAGGGCTGCCCCTTCTGCTCCAGCGAGGCCCCCACCCACCGCACTGAGGCCCCGAGGCTGGGAGGCAGAAGCTGCAGCTTCAGCCCTAGGTCCCCCCACTGACTTGCTGTGTGGCCGCTGGAGAATGCCTCTACCTCTCTGAGTCAGAGAAGCCTCACTCTAAAACAAGGATGTCAACCAAGGAAAAAAATGTGTAGCATCTCCCACGGAGCATGTGATGGGCCGGGAACATTTCGGGGGCTTCCCCAAGCCCCTCACACCCTCCCGGCGGCCCTGAAGCACAATGTCTACGCTCCCTCGGCCAACAGGGGGCGCGACCAAGTTCAGGGCCACTGGGCACCAAAGCCTGGAGCCCCTCCCCGACACAGTCCTTGTAATGATGGGGACCAAGGACCTCTTTTCAATATCCCAAAAGCCTTAAGGAGTTGAGCTTTTGCCCACGGACAGACACACAAGCCACCCACGGAGCCCGGGGGCAGCTGTGGCTGGAACCACGCCGGCTGAACGGCGCCCTGGTGCAGGGGGGTCTCAAACTCCTGGGGCGCAGCCTGGGCTCCGAGCCACTCGTCGAGGTCGGCGATTTTCGAGCTGCTTCATCTCACGGCGCACAAGCTCATCGCAAAAGTTCTGAGGCACACCAGACAACACACTTTTTGCCCATGTGACAAAGAAATAGGCGTGATTTTGATTCATTCACACGGGCTGACCCTTGTTCTGTGGGCTTTTTATTTGACAATCTAAGGGAAAAGAGACCAGTGCCTCTGGCCAAAGAGTCAGGTGCCGCGTGTTTTAGAAGTTTTAAAGGGCACCTGCTGAGAGTGGCTGGTCTGGATCCACCCACTCAAAGTGCGGCCCCAGGGCCAGCGGCATCGGAGGCTCTGGGGGGCTGGTTCCAAATGGGGCCCCTCAGGCCCCGCCCCACCTCCCACCTCAGAACCTGCATTTAACAAGGTCCCTGGAGAGGTCTCTGTACACCGAGGCTGGGAGCATGAGGCCAGGGGACAGCTCCCAGGGCAGGCAACGTGCTGGGGGGCTAAGAGGGGCCCGGTCCTGAAGCCTGGGGTGGGGTGGGGTGGGGGGCGGTCCCTGGGACCTAGGGACCTTCTGTGGGGAAGGTCTTTCCAATGCGAGGCCTCAGGGAGGAAAACAAAAGTGACCCCCGGGGGACAAGGGCAAGGGTTGGGAGCCACTGGCCTGGGCAGTCGGTCACTGGGGTTCCCACACTGGAGACGCAGGGCCGGGGGTGGGGGCTGGTCGCTGCTAACAATCAAGGGCTGGCGTCAGGGGCCCTGCTAGCAGCACGGGGCGGTTTTTTCAGTTAGTCGTCCCTTTAACCCTGCGAGGTGGGTCACTAACTCGTTTAAGGTCGCAGGGAGAGGAGTGATAGAAGGGCAGGAGGCGGGCAGGAGGGGGAGGGAGGGAGCCAGATTCGCACAGATCGGACTCCAGAGCTGCATCTGCTCCCAGCCGAGGGATTCCCCTCCCTCTCACCGGCCCCGGGGAGGCCCTGTGACCTGGCCAGCTCCCGGCCTGGCCTCCGCGCATCCCAGGGACCAATCACGTCCCTGCCCCGCGGGGCTGGGATGCCAGGCTCTGAGCTCTCCGGAGGCCATTAGTGCCCCAAACACATTTGGCTGGAACTCCAAATACCCAGCGTGTGACAGCCCATAACCCAGTCCACAGGACAGCTGCCCCGGCCGGCCGTGACCTCCACGAGGGGGACATCCCTGCTGTGGCTGCCTGCCACCCAGCCAGGACAGGACAGCGACAGGGGGGCCCCAGCGGCCACGCCAAGGAGCCCTTCACTCAGAAGAGGAGGTCACACAGCATGCTGTTCTTGGGAAGAAGGGAGGAGGCACATCGGGGCTCACTGATTATCTGGGGACACTGATGGTGGGGAGGGAGGGTGGAGTGAAGCCCCAGTGGACTTGGGGAAAGGAACCTCCGGCGAGGGCACCCCTCACCTCCCCCCCCCCGCCGTCCTTGCCCCACCCCCACAGCCTGAGTCTATTCACTTCTCCCCCAGCCCCCTGCCCGCCGCCGGGCTGGCCCGAGGAGGGGGCTCAGAGACGGGCCCTGAACAAACCAGAGGGACGCCTGGAGCCAGGCCCCCCGATCTGGTCCGACCCCCACGGGCTCCTCTGTGGAGCAGGAGGATCCGACTGCCCAAGGAAGTGGCTGCTGGGAGTTTTCTCCCGCCTCCCAGGCCCGCCCAAACCAGGGGACTCCGTCCCCACTTTCACAACAGATCTCTGGGCCCACCTCCGCCGGCCTCTCCCCACCACACCCTCCTGGCCGGCTCGGCACAGCTGCTCCGAGGGAGCACCTGCAGGGAACAGTGGCTGGCTGGCGGGGCGAGCCCGCCCGCGGTGGGCGGAGCCCCGGGGCAGCTCCCTCTGCCTCGATGCCCGGCGAGGCACTCGGCTCCTGACACCGCCCCCCCCCCCCACACACACACCGGGCCTAAGTGCCCAAACGCCGCACCGTGTCCTCCTCCACGGCCGAGCCGGGGCGGTCTGCTCTCTCAAAGGGAATGTCCAGGAGGCAGGCCCAAAGGGGCACACAGACACGTGTGTCAGGGCATGAACGCAGACTCCCGGAACGGGACACAGGCACCAACGGCCGCCCACGAGGTCCAGATAGATGGCAAAGCTCTTCTCAGTGGCAAAACTCCGTGAGGGACGCTAAGCCTTCGCTGTTATGACCACCCCGTCTGTAACGCTGGCTCAGGCCAAAGAAGTTACAGGTACAATGGCGTCGGCTCCAGGAGCAACTCCCACGTTGGGGAGTCCGTGGGACTGACAGTCCCGGGAGCCCCGTGGGGCATCAGCCAAGGGACCAGGATTTGCGGACCGCGCCGTCTGGAGCCCGTCCGAGGCTGCTAACCAGCAGAGGAGCCTGCCTCCGTGGAGAAGCCTCGTGGGGGCTCAGGGGGCTCCTTGGCTCCCCGAGGCGTCTCCGAGGCCTGGGCGTGCCGGGCTGGCAGGGCGTCCCAGACGCAGGGCTGGCATCACTGTGAGCCCAAGTGGGGGGGTGGGGAGGGGCAGCATCAGTCAGCAGTGTGATGGCTGCCCGGGGCGCAGGGGAGCACGGTCTGTGGGCCCAAGGCCTCCTCCTCGGAGGGCGCGGGGGACTGGATAACATCAGGCGCCTTCTCCCACCCCCGAACCCCAAAGTCCTCACCCACCCTGTAACCTGGCTGACCTCCACCTGGGCACTGGGGTGGCCAGGGCTGGGACAGACCAACCTCTTTTACAGAAGGGGAACCGAGGCGGCCCGCAGATGCCAAACGATGTGGGTCCGGCCGGCCGGCCGCCCGTGCCGGGTGCTGGCCGGACCAGGACCCTGCACACTGCTCCTCAGTTTGGGGACCGCTCGTGGGCTACGACGTGGAGGCTCCCTGCCCACAGGGCCCAGCCATGTGGCCCAGCCCCGCTACCGGCCCGCCCGCGGACTCGTGTCCAGGCAGTGGCTGGCACGCAGTGAAAACCATCCTAATGTGTCTCCCACATTGCCAGCGTGGCCCCAGCCGAGGTTCGGTGGAACCGGTTCTCCCAGCAGCCGCACGCACCGTCCTCATTATCGTCTGCATCGGAGCCGCTAGCGTTCCCCTGAGTGCCGCAGGCCGAGCCCTGTGCCCGCACTTGACCTGGAGTAGCGAAGCTGACCTTCACGAGACCTTTATGATACGGGCACTACCCCATGGCACACACAAGGAACCGTGGCACAGAGAGGTTCGGCAGCTCGCCCA